TTCACGCCCCCCACTTCCGTCCTCAGCCCCTCCGTCACCTCATATTCTCAAGCCCGCCCCAAGGATGATGCCTGTGATGCCTACAGGATTGCGGCGCTAGCCTACGACCCTTTCCACCCCAGCCATTCCGGATACTACCTCTGCACCTACGACTCCAAGGACCCTCGGTGGAGACGCACGCCCGCTGCCTCTCCACAGCCACCACCGCCTGAAGACTTTGTGTCCAGCAAGGTCATCACCATCCGCCGCTCTGGCTCCGGCTCCTGTTCCGGCATCATGGGCTGGGTCGACCTCTGGAGTGGCATGCTCCTCTGTGACGTGCTCGCTGCCGCCGCCGACACCCTCTGCATCCCGCTTCACTATCTCACCTTTCCAGAGCCGAGGCAGCTGCGAACTGAGCTCCCTCTTGCCACAGACATTGGATACCACTTTCGGGACATCGCCCTAGCCAGTGACTCCGGCATCATCAGGTTTGTCGACCTTCAGGTCCACGCCGAACCCAGCCCGCGCTCGCAAACTCCTAGTGGCTGGACGGTGGTCACGTGGACCTTGGAGGGGCTCAATGGCGGTCTGGATGCCCTGTTTTTCCGGCAGGAGCACGAGATCCATTCTGGACATATCCACGGCTACAACCTGCCTCAGTCTCTCTTTGTTTCCAACCCCATCCTCAGCTCCGACAGAGATGGCGTCCTCTACCTCTTGACCAATGCCAGCAGCGAAAACACCAACAACATGCCGTCGAAGGTGATTGCTCTTGACCTCAACCAGAAGATGTTGCTGGACGTGCAGGAATTCGACAGGCAAAGACCCAGCTCCTACATGACCACTAGCATCTCCAGCTATCTCATGCCAGCTGCTGCAGGTACTGCACCATCGCCTCCCCTCCCCGTTAATTAATTATAACATACGTCGGTCATCGACATGCATGCCTTGCTCAAATTCATCTGAGACCAATGTAGACCATGGCATGAGTCTAGTTTTATCATCTAAGGTCAATCGATATGTTGGTTAATTAAGTAGTACAAGTTCATATATGACTTGAAAACTGACGACGCCTTTAGCTTGGTGACAACAAGATTCCCTTCCTGTTGACAAATTTCTTTTTCTTAACATGCATGCATGGATGTTCATTCTAGAACTAGCTAGAATTTGTCGTTGTAGACTCTTTTTTATCTGTTGGCTTTGTTAGTTGTGATTTTATTTTAATAAATGAGAAGGGCAAGGATTTATTTTTCACAACAAAAACTGTTCTTTTTCTGTGCAGTTTCAAAGGAGAAGGAGAGTATGAAACGGCGTGCGCCAAAGTCTATGGGATCCGCTCGCAAGAAGCAGCCTGCCATCGCTAACCCAGCAGCGGTAGGAGGAAAGGGTGATGTCGGGGATGCAATGGACTTGTCACAGTAGGTGGTTTGTTTGGTGGTTTGTTTGGGTACGAGTGCCCTTTGAGATGACTACCATCATGGATTATTTGCTCTCACAAGCTTCAAACCATGACATCCACCATCGCAGGAAGTAGTATGAATCAGAATTTTATTTATTAAGGTTACTATGATGGAGGTTAATTTAGGAGATGATTATTTATATTTAGAGCTCCCTCCAGGTGCCTGTTAATTTGCTTACTATTATTATTGTGCTCTAGGTAGCTAGTACAAGATGATGTCCCTGCATGGTTTGTAATCCCCTCCGTACCTGCCTTGTTTGACTTTCTACTATTGTTAAGGTTATTATGAATGTCTCGACTGCGTTTTGACCTTACTTACTATGTTAACTAGTGTAGTAGTTGTTGGGGCACTTGTATATGTGGCTCGATAGTGATCTCTAACACTGTGCAAAGTGTCAATCTTGTCAATATGAAGATCCGATTACGTTACCACAATGTCATTCACGCACCATATATACATACTGGATTACTGGTCACTTGCAAGCAACTTCAGAATGGGTCCTATACCTTCTTCAATTCTATGTACATGCAGCTGTGGCACAAGTATTGGGTTGCTGCCTCCACCTGGGGGCAAATTCGTTTCTCTGTCTTACTCAGTCGATTGATATGGGGTCACGATTTTAAGCGCTCAAGACAGTTGCATGTATGCGATGTTGATGCTTCCATCTTATACGATGATCTGCCGTTTTTTGGTCGAGATGATGAGCGCAAGATGCACTGGCTCTCCTGGGAGGGAGATCTTGCCGAAACCAGAGGGATGTGGAGATTTGGGTTTGAGGAGGGACCTTCACGCCTTCAATATTGCCAAAATGCACGCTGAGGCTTGGTGAATTCTATAGACCCTCGAAAATTCCTATGTGCTATCAAGCTCCATTATACCGGCGGTGAGTGCCAGAATTTATTGTATATTTTCTCTAAAAATGAATTAACAGAAATACCCGATGCGCCTTCATATATACGGAAAAGGGTGAAGTCTATTTTAAACCTTATACTCATAGAGCCCGTCGGAATTGAACCCTCAAGTCCGAATCCCTGAAATCGATACCCTGACCTTTCAGAGCCCGGTCAATATCAACCATGCATTGATCCTAAACCTGTTTGTAGCATGAAAATAGGCAATCCTGACCGGGATTACTAGGTTCTCTCCCCGATTCAGGGTCCCTACATGTCATATTTTTCTTTCTCGCTGTTGTTTCTTCGAGCTGCCCGAGCGACTTTGCTTACCTCGTTGCAAGCACCTGCAGCAGCTAGCACTGCGGTGCGTAGCAAACTCCACGGTATACCCCAACGTTCCCCAGGTGTCTTTCCGCCGGTCGCCGGCAAGGGGTGCGCCGGTCCCATGTCACCTGCATGTCGTGCCGCCGGCCGTGGCCGCATGTTGAAGACCCCGAAGCGACGCAGATCGATCAAAGCTAGAAGGCATGTAAATTTCTACTTACGTACGTGAGCTAGCTCAGAATACATTATACATTCACCTGCCTTCCTGCTTAAAGCCAGCTTCTACGTACGTGAAACTGTGAAAGTACGCTGTTAAAAGAAAAGCATCGGATGAGTCAGCTCCTTGTCTTGCCGTGGTCCGACGGCATGCCGGCGCCGGCTTCGCCTGCCGCCGGGAATACGCTAGCTAGCTAGACACGTCTCCAAGCAGTACCTGAGTACCTTGGTCCTTGGTCACCATGTTCATGGCGCGCTGCACCACGTAGTAGCCAGCGATGTGGTTGCCGAGGGGACTTGAGCACGCCGTCTAGCAAGCGGGGTCATGTGTCTGTTGTACGTGCACACAGCATCGTGCACGTCCTGCCGGCCATCGTTGTGCAGGAGCTCGCCGGCACACGGGTCCGCCGCGTCGACCTGGAAGCTCGCGCCGCGCTGCTCTACCATTTCCTGATCGTGCAAACACGGTTCCGCCAAGTCGACGTGAGCGCAGCCACCTCCACACCGTGCACGCCATCGCGTGCCGTCCTCCTAGCTCCCGTTCCTCCTCTGACGAGTGACGACTCGCCGCGCACCGGCGACATCGTGCTCTGCATGAAGGGCACCTCCATAGATTCCCCGTGTGGGCCATGCGAACCGGAAAACGCCCGCACCCGACGCCCTTCATCTGCAATGCCCAGCCTCTTGCTTCTCGGCGCCGTGCTGATTTCAGAAGAGAGGATTGAGGATAGAAGATGAATATGACATGTGGGACAGAGATTTCAGTGAGAGCAGACTATGATCCCGGGTGGGATTGACATTTTCCCGGTGCGCCAAATTGGTCCAGGGTTGATGTTGACCGGGATTAGAAAGGTTAGGTACAGATTTCAGGGATTTAGAGGTGGAGGTTCAACTCCGACGAGGTCTACGAGTTTAAGGTTTAAAATAGACTTTACCCTACGGAAAAAAACACAGAAGAGATGCAATGCAGATACGATGAATTTGTACAGTATGCTCGTTTGATGGCTATGTGCATCTTAGCTATTCTGAGGCGAGTGTCGCTCTTTATTTTTTGTATCCGCTCGATGCTACTACATTTTAGGTTAATAAAATCATCCTTTGTCGGAAAAATAGCACTAACAGAAGAGCCAGTACTACAGGACAAAGAGCTCACTTGCTCCAGGCCTCCCTTGTGTTAATTAACGTTGTCTCATTACTCGTGTGACGCGTGCGACTATTAAAAATTTTAAACCAGCAAATTACCTACTAACACAGCTTTCATGGTGCTTTTGGGCTACTATCATATCATATAGCGTCCAGCCAAAGCACAGCGGCGCTGGCTTCTAGCTGTAGGGGCGTTGAGTCAGATCTGTTTCTCCATTGAATTGAGTTGAAAACACGGTCATCTACCTAATGACAACGCAATTTCATTCTTTTAAGGAGTCCAATGATCCTTTAACTACAAACTGAGCCGGGTTTGATGCGCCATGTTCCTGCCCAACAGCTTTTAGCAAGGCGAGGAGGAGACAATGGAAGATAGGAGCCATGGCTTGGCGCTGGGGGTGAGCTTTCTCCTCCTCCTCATCGTCGCCGGCATCGCGCAGAGCGACAGAGAGAAGAACAAGACCACTATGGTGAGCCATCTCCCTGGCTTCCATGGCCCCCTTCCCTTCTCCATGGAAACAGGCTATGTGGAAGTGGACGACCGCAATGGCGTCCGCCTCTTCTACTACTTCGTTCAGTCGGAGACGAGCCCGGCGGAGGACCCCGTCTTGCTCTGGCTCACGGGCGGCCCGGGGTGCTCCGCCTTCTCCGGCCTTGCCTACGAGATCGGTAACTATTTGCTCAACCATTTTCCATTCTCATCATGCCCTGATTGATATGCTTAACCATTTTACTTATTGGTTGTTGCTATTGCAGGCCCTCTCAGCTTTCAGCCTGATTCCTACACCGATGGTCTGCCAGAGCTGGTGTACAGACAAGATTCTTGGACCAAGGCTAGTATCTTCTTTCAGCCACCCATCTAGTAGGACTTTATTCGATCACTAATTAATCATGTAAGTACAATTGCAGCTTCTAATTATGCTTCTGTCTAACCACCACTAGGTTGCCAATGTAATCTTTCTGGATTCCCCTGTTGGAGCTGGCTTTTCATACTCTGCAACAGACCAAGGGTACAAGTCCTGCGACACCAAAGCCGTTGACCAAACTGCCATCTTCCTTACCAAGGTCCGTCCAATCACATATTATTATCATCGTCTTATCACTCATAGTAATTAGCTTTGCTCTCCATCGTACGTGCTTATTATAATACTCCCTCCGTCCGGAAATATTTGTCATCAAAATGAATAAAAGGGGATGTATCTAGATGTATTTTAGTTCTAGATACACCCCTTTTTGTCCATTTTGATGACAAGTTTTTCCGGACGGAGGGAGTACTACTATTCTACACACCAATACTTCTGAAACTTCCCATCTTCAGACATTTCCTACTACTTTTACATGCTGTTTGGTGTGTAGAATTCATATTTATTTTATAGGTAATTATTCCGAATTCTTACGATCGTTGTTTTCTCCATGTGCAGTGGTATGAGGAGCATCCACAGTTCTTACTGAATCCACTTTTCATTGCCGGAGATTCGTATTCTGGCTTAATTGCGCCTCCGCTAACCTTTCAAGTTGCTAAGGGTATGCTTGTTTCTTAGTATTACAAATATTGCATTTTTCCTATAAAATTGAAAACTTTGGCATATAACATTTCTCTACTCAAATAACCCTTGACTTTACTGTTAAAACCTCAGTGTTCTGCTTCAAATTACCAATCCCGTGCCTCTTTTCCAGGTATAGAAATGGGCGACAAGCCACTTCTTAATCTGAAGGTCACACAACCTTTCTTTACTCTTGGAACAATTAACGCAGGTTATCTTTGTGTTGCCTTCTAAGAAGCTACTAACGTTCTAACATATATATCACTACAGGGTTATATCATAGGCAACCCAGTAACGGATCGCAAGTTCGATTCGCCAGCCATAGTTCCTTATGCCCATAGGATGGGCCTCATATCTGACGAACGATATGAGGTGGTAGAGGGGATCACATCCTTTCTTTCACACAGTATTGAGTTGAGCTATTTCATTCATTTGTGATGATTAAAAAAATTCTATGTGCTAAATTTCAGATATACAGGGAAAGTTGTGGTGCAGACACCGGTATGAACCGAAACATACAATGTAAAAATTGCCATGACGCGATAGATAAGGTACAATAATACCAGCAGAAAGGGAACTTTAAGAGCCTTTTGTCTCTATTATTAACGATGCTTCTTTTCAAAGTTGATTAACGATGCTTTTTATTCTGATTTGTAGTGTTTGAAGGGCATAAACATACATCACATCCTAGAACCCGAATGTTCTTCCGAACACAATGGAAATTCAGATAGCGGCAGGATGCTGCTTGACTACGGCAATGCAGAGCTTGGCTTGTCCGATATTTCTTCGGAGTGCAGAGTAAGTGGCCAAGAAACCTAGCTTAAATGGCTTAAGATTTTCTTCTTTGCTAATTAAATTGACCATGTTTATTTTGAACTTTATACAACATTGTTTGTGCCACCACTATATATATGACTACTGCATGCAGGAGAAAGGATACAGCATGTCCGGCATCTGGGCAAACAACAGGGCGGTGAGGGAGGCTCTGGGTGTTCACAAGGGAACTGTTCCTGTGTGGCTGAGGTGCAACCACGGCACGCCATACACCACCGACATCAGGAGCAGCGTGGAGTATCACCGGAGCCTGACCAGCAGAGGCTACCGGAGCCTGATCTACAGCGGCGACCACGACATGACGGTGCCTTTCATCGGCACCCAGGCGTGGATCCGCTCCCTCGGCTTCGCCGTCGTCGATGAGTGGAGGCCATGGTATGCCACCGGCCAAGTTGCTGGGTGAGTACGTTTGAGCCGCTACAAGTGAGATCCCGCTAGTAGTTTTCTCCCATCAGCTTGGGGAAACTTTTACGTTGTTGATTTGTGATGCCCTTGATTGAGCTGCATTTCATTTGTGTGCAGGTTTACAACGCTCTACGCCAACAATCTCACTTTTGCGACGATCAAGGTATGTATAAGGGACTAGCTAGTTTGTTTTTAAACCGAGGCAAAAGTTTTGCCCCATATATTAATTAGGAGAGAAGAATAGAGTTTATTAGGGCTACAACACACTCCACAGCGATACAAAGGCATTACTCTCCCGGCATGATTGACGCAGCTTCTTAGCCCCGGCAGCAACCCAAAGTGTCGCCTCCACTTAGATGAGGGCTAGAATTACAAATGGCGGTGCATTTTTTTGGCGGAACACCCATGCATTACGCTCATTACAGAGGGCCCAAGAGGTGAGCAAGGCAAGGGAGGCCAACGCCTTCCCGTTGGGAACGTAGGAGTCGGAGAGCGCGATCCACCACTCTTTGGTGGATCCAAAATGATGTCAGACAGAGGTGTCGATGCTTTCGAGTTGCAACCATTCCTTGATTATGCCCCAAAGCCGAATGGAAAACCGACATCCGAAAATAAGGCGATCGACCGTTTCCTGCTCGCGCCTACAGAGGGGGACAAAGGCCACAGTTTGGTCATCCACGTTTGCCCAATCTGTCCGCTGTCCACATTCTATTTTGGGCGGCCAACTAAGCGAAGAACTTCACTTTGGGAGAGGGACTGGCTAGTTTGATGTATCGACTCTATTTGTTAATTTGCTACTCTATTTGTCTGTCATGCCAAGCAAGTGTTTCTTTGTTTGTCTGATTGATCAGGGTGGTGGTCACACTGCTCCAGAGTACAGGCCCAAGGAATGCTTGGCCATGGTCGACAAATGGCTCTCCGGTCGTCCTCTCTAACTCGTCTTCTCGCGCGCATCACATCTGCTTCCTCTTGTTACGGACATAAGAATTTTGGATTCAGGAAGAATACTATTCTACTGTCTGTAACCTACTACTATTAAGTTTGTCAATGTATAGCGTGACATGGTATATATAACATTTGCATGTTTATCATCGTCAAGGCAATACAAGTGTGATGATCCAGCCTATGCATCGATTGATGCATGCAACTTTCTATTTTATTTATTTTGACGGAGATGCAAATATTTTTTGTTGAACACAGTACAGACACAGACGCTCATATATAAGTGCTTATAATTTTTTGGGAATTTATTAACAATTTTGGAAAAAAATGTTCAGGTTTGTTAAATTTTCATACATAATTTGAAATTCCAAAATAGTTGAATTTTTTTAAGAAATGGTTGGGACATAAGAAAATGTTCATGTTAATTCATAATGACATAAATTGCAAGTAATAGAAGCATTCAAATTATAAAAAACTACATGCTCACGGAAGCACCTGTCCAGCACACTCCTGACTCCTCTCAACTGGTGTATTTTTGCACTATGGATAAATGACCACAACTTCTTGCAACAGCCTCGCACAGACATATGAGGCATCCATGTCAAGTTTGAACGACTTCCGACACCCGTTTACGAGTGCGACATGTTTGATCATTTATTAGCCTTTTTTTCACGGAGAAAACTCATGAAAATGAAAAAATTGTCAAAAGTCCAAATAAATTGGCATGATACCTGAATTGGTCAAAGAAGCTGGTGGAAAGAAATTAAGTCATTTGACGAATGTTGAAAAACAACGAGCTTTCAAATAGACCCTTCTAGCCTCTACCTGAACTGTCCCCGTTGGGCATGGTCTATTTGTGGACATTGTTAAAATGACCCCAACTTCTGCAAGCAGGTAGGCATGCCTATGGTAGGAATCCATGCCTGATTTCGATGACTTTTGACACATTATGCAAGTTACGACACATACGACCATTTATCGGCCATTTTTAACCGAGGAAAATCCAAAAAATGTAAAACTTGTCGAAAACTCAAACAACTTGGCGTGTGCCTTGAATTGGTCATACAAGGCCATGAAAAAAAATATTGTGACCATTTAGGTACGTTGAGAAATGAGGTGCTCCCAAATGGACCCTTCAACCCGAACATTGTTCGTTGAACATGGTATTTTCTTGGAAATGTCAGAAGTGACCCCAACTTTCGCAAGTAGGTGGGCATGCCCATGTTAGGCATACATGCCTGGTTTGAATCACTTTCGACACAATATGCATATTGCAACATGTCTAGTAATTTGTCGCCTTTTTTCATTGGGAAACTCCAGAAAATGCAAAACTTATCAAAAGCCACAATAACTTGGCATGGTGCGTTGAATTGGTCATACAATGCCATGGGAAAAACTTGAGGTCATTTCAAGGATGTCGAGAAACAATGTGCTCTCAGACGGAGCCTTCTGGCCTACCCGGATACCCTTCGTTCAACATGGTCTATTTTTGTGCGTACTTGAAATAATCTCAATTTTTTCCACCAGGTGAGCATATGCCCATGGTAGGCATCCACGTCAAATTTGAACGATTTCCGACACCGTATGCAAGTTGCGACTCGTCTGGCCATTTATGGGTATTTTTTGACCAAGAAAACTCTATAAAATGCAAAATTTGTCGAAATCAAAACAACTTGCCATGGTTTCTTGAATTGGTCATATAAGTCCATGGAAACAAATTGGGGCCATTTCATGGATGTCTGGAAACAATCGGCCTTCTGGCCTACGCGGACACCCTTCGTTGAACATGGTCTATTTTTGACATTTTTTAAATGACCCCAACTTTTGCAAGAAAATGGGCATGCCCATGGTAGATATCCATGCAAAGTTTGATCAAATTCATGCACTTTGCACGTTGCGACATGTTCGGTCATTTATTGACTTGTTTTTTCCCGAGGAAACTCCAGAAAATGCAAAATCCATCGAAAACCAAAACAACTTCACATGGTGCCTTGAATTGGTCATATAAGTACATGAAAAAATTGGATCATTTCAAGAATGTCGAGAAACAACGTGCTCACAAACGAAGCCTTCTGCCTACATGGGCACCCTCAGCTGAACATGACTTATTTTCTAAAAATTCTTGAAAATAACCCTAACTTTTTTAATAAGGTGGGCATGCCCATGGTAAGCATCCATGTCAGATTTGAACAAATTATGACACCGTCTGCAATCTGCGAGATGTCTTGCCATTTATCAACTTTTTTCCAAAAAAATCTGAAAAATTCAAATTTGTTAGTGTTTCTTCAATAAACTTTTGATTTCTTTTTAAATGTTCGTATTCGAAATTTTGTTCGCTCTTTTTAAAAATATTCGTGTTTTGACATGCTGAGCAATTTTGGAAGACACAGTTCTTTTGAATTTTCTGTACAATTTTTTAAATGCAAATATTTAGATTTTTGAACAAAATTTGTAAAGGTAAACATTTTTTGAAATTTTGAGCAAATGTTTAAAAGCGCAAATTGGTTTGGGGACCTTCTAGAAGGTCCATGAATCAATTGTTTTTTGTGTTTTGTTTCTCTTTTCTATCACCTTTTTCTTCTTTTTTCTTTTAAAAATCGCAAAATTAAAAAAATTCAACATATTCAAAATTTACCCATTTTTTTAAAAAAAATGAAAATTTCAAAAAAAAATCACAATTTCAAAAATTGTTTTTCTATTTCATAAATTGCAGAATTCTAAACGTGTTTATGCTTTTCGAAAAATGTTCGGAGTTTCCATATTTTCTTCACGTTTTCGAAAATTATTCACAATTTAATTAAATGTTTGTAGTTTCAAAATATTTCAATGTCTCAAAAGTGTTCGTGTTTACAAAATTTGTTTAAATTTTCAAAAATTCTTTGAAAATTTATTTTTTTTTCTCATTTCCCAAAATTTGTTTAGAATTTTGAAATGTATTACCTTTTTAAAAGATGGCCCATGTTTAAAAAAATGTTTGCAATTTCAAAAAGCCTAGAGTTTCAAATTTTGCTCGTGTTTAAAAAATTGTTCGTAATCTGAACTTTTGTTCTCTTTTTTCACAATTTCAAAATGTGTTCCATTTGAGTAAAATTATGGCCCAAATAAAATTTTGAATCCATAACGCTAAATTTTCATTTAAGGATTGCTTATAAAACAAAATTTGAGCTCACAAAATACATGAGAGCTTTTGTAATATTTTGGGTTGTAAATGATTTCCATAAATCCCAAATTGTATTGGAACCCTAATGTTAAATTGGGAATTAAGTTGAACCCTAAAATAATTCACGCAATAAATTAATATCCCAAAATAGGGTAACATTTATTATAATTTGGAAGAAATGTAAATTTCCTAAGTTCCAAATATTATGATGAACCTCTGTAAATTTTCCCGAGATGTTTGGAGTGAATATGATTTTTAAAATTAATTAAAAAAATCAAATTGGAATAATTGCAATGTTCAAAACAAGGCTATAAATTTTATTAACATTTTTGGCAGGAAATCATTTTCCCTAAGTCATATATATTAAGTTGAGCATTTGGATTTTCCATGTAAGAGTTTTACGCAAGATCGGTTTTCGAATCAAACTCAATTCAAATGGAAAAAGAAAACCAAAAAGAAAAAGGAAAGAGGTAAAGTAAACAACCTAAACCTAGCCTACAGCCCAGCAAGCTGATCTAGCCCTACGAGCGCGCAGCATAATAGCGTGGCCCAAGTCAGCCGCCATTGTGCCATTAATTTCGTTGTTGCAGGATTGTGTGCTTTCTCATGTTCCGGACACCCATCGCTTGCTCAACGGTGCTGCCTTCTCCACCTGCGGCGCGTATGCTGCTCTCACGGATCACCTTGCAGAGCCAATGCTTGCTGAAATTTGGGACTCAAAGGTGCCAAAAAAGGTTTATGAGTTTTGGTTGGCTGTTCTACCTTGACCGCCTCAACACAAGGCATAACTTGCACAAGAAAAACATCATGTACACCGAAGTTTGCCCAAGATGTAGCCACTTGGTTGAAGACCGCGACCATCTCTTCTTTTCTAGCCCAGCAGCCCGAAGGATTTGGCGTGCAATTGGCATAAGCCCTATGGCCACACCTATTGGTGAGCTCTTCAACACAACTCTACCCGCACAGCTGCCGACTTCGGGTCGACCCTTCATGCTACTTCTCACCCTTTGGAATTTGGGATGCAAGAAACAAGAAAGTTTTCCAAGGGCTTGACATCGATTCTTCTATTTCTGTTAGAGCTAGCCTACCATGGATGACTTGGTTATTCGGCCTCATCGGCTTAAGTCTGATACTTTAAAGGGCCACGCCGGCTTGTGGCGTGAGTTCCTCTCCTCACAACACTTGTGAACTATGTAACATTTGCTGACTTTGGAAATATATTCAGGTGGGGAAAGACTCCCCCTCGATGACCATTTAACCATTTAAAACAAATTGAGCTTCCAGGTCAATTTGTACATCATCCCCCTCCCTTCCCTCCCCTCTCCTCCCCTGGGTCGCCCCCGCGCGGCGACCAGTGGGGAACCCTAGCGCCGACAAGTCCTCGGCTCTCTCTTCCACCTCTCCTGCCTGCCGCCGCCGGGGCGCGCCGCCGGGCAAAGCCCGGTTGGCGTCGGCGGCGGCGGGATATCTCCTCCCCGCAGCGGCCGGACCTGGCGCAGGTGGCGTTCGGCGGCAGTTGGCGGCGCTTTGGCGACGGGGCGCGCCGGTGAGGGCTCAGGGAGTGACGGCAGGAGCTGCTTCCCCTGGTGGTCGAGTGGGGGGCCGTTCGGGGCGCGCCTATGGTGGCCGTGGCCGATCTGTTTCAGATTTGATCGCCGATGCCTCGGGCGCGCGGGGATCTCGGGGCGGCGGCCTTGATCGGTGGCGCGCGGTGCGGCCTGCCTGGCAGGCGGCACCCGCGGGTGCAGATGGGGGGCCTTCCACGGCTGCGTGGGCGGCGTGGATGCGGCGGCGCTACGGCGGCTCCTCGATGGCCGCCCGGAGTTCCATGGGAGGCGTCGTCTCCGACTCGATCTACTCCGGTTCGTCCTGGCTACGGTAGCGACTACGGTCGACGCCAATACTGCCTGGACGGATCTGGCGGGTGGGCATGGATCCGGGGGAAACTCCAGGCCGGCGTGGCGGCCGCACCAAAGTCGATGCCCTCAGCGCCGATTACCTTCCTGGAGGCTTCGGTGTGGATCATACGCCCCCCCCCCCCTCTGCCATGAGCGCAGGCGAAACCCTCTGTTCCTCTGTTTGGGTGACGGTGGCACTTTGGTGTCGTGTTCCTTCCTGAAGGCGTCGGCCGAGGACTGCTCAGGGTGGTGGAGTTGCTGGTAGTTCGGAGTCGACGCGAGATGGCATGTAGGTGGAGCGATGTGGCATCAACAGTATCATCGGCGGTGGGTCTCGGCGGCATGGCGCAGTGGAGTCTCGGCGTCCAATGCGCGGAGATGGACTCGCGCAGGAGGAGGAAGCTGTCTGGCGTCGTGGCGGCATCGACGGTAGCTAGACCGTGCAAGGTAGATGCAACAGTACATCTCTGAAGATGGATTGGTGGCAGGTGGCTGCGGCAGCCTCATACCCGGCAGACGTCCTGGTGAGGAGTGCGCCGGACTGGTAGGTGCCCCATACCCGGCAGGCGTCCTGGTTGGGACCTCAGGTCTTAGATGTTTAGGTTTGGCTGCGATGTCTGTTTGGTATTAGGCCCAGACTATCAGCGCCCCTTCATCGATTGGATAGGTGTAGCGATAGTTGTTGCATAGACGGTGGCTTTAGTCTTGCTGTTGTATGACTTTGTAAGGTCTTGTGAGAATAATTAATAAAGTGGTCGTATGCATCGTCCAGATGCAGAGGTCGGGGTCATCCTCCTTTTTTAAAATAAAAAAAAGGTCGATTTGTACAACATGGCACGCTACGTTAGTTGCGAGCAGTTGAAGTTGAATACGACGTACGGTGATCCAAGAAATAATAGGTATATGGCCGATGTAAGACTTGAGAAACACCCGATCGTACTTGATCATCACCGGTGTGGAGTACCTGTACAAGTGCACGTGCACGTTGAGCAGGCTAACAAATTCTTGTGTACTGTAAACTAACAGAAGAGCCAGTAGAGGACAAAGAGCTCACTGGCCATCTAGCAACCTAACACAGCTTTCATGGTGCTGTTGGGCTACTGTCATGTTGAGTCAGATCTGTCTCTCCATTATTGGATGGAATTGAAGAGAAGAGAAAGCGGCCATCTACCTACTGACGACGACAAATTCCTTCTTTTAGTAAAGAGACTAACGATCCTTTAACTACAACTAAAACTGAACTGAGTTCCTCCTACCCAACAGCTTTCAGCTAGGCTATAGGTGGAGACAATGAAAAATACAAGGAGCCATGGCTTGGTTGCCTTGGCAATGGGAGTGAGCTTCCTCCTCCCCGCCGTCATCTCGCAGAGCGACAGAGAGGAGAACCAGACCGTGCAGGTGAGCCATCTCCCTGGCTTCCATGGCCCCCTTCCCTTCTCCCTGGAAACAGGGTATGTGAAAGTGGACGACAGCAATGGCGTCCGCCTCTTCTACTACTTCGTTCGGTCGGAGACGAACCCGGCGGAGGACCCCGTCTTGCTCTGGCTCACCGGCGGCCCGGGGTGCTCCGCCTTCTCCGGCCTTGTCTACGAGATCGGTACAGTAACCTTTTTTCTTAACCATTTTCTCCATGCCCATCATGGTGTGACTGATGCCCAGATATCGTAAAACTAACTATAACTTGTTGGCTATCCCGAAAAAAAACTAACTTGTTGGCTGTTTCTGTTGCAGGCCCTCTCAGCTTTCAGCCTGATTCCTACACCGGTGGTCTGCCAGAGCTGGTGTACAAACCGGATTCTTGGACCAAGGCTAGTATATATTGCTCTTATGCCAGCCACCAATTAATCATTTAAGCATAATCGCAGCTTCTAATTAATCATGCTTCTGTCCAATCACCACTAGGTTGCCAATGTGATCTTTCTGGATTCCCCCGTTGGAGCTGGCTTTTCATACTCTACAACGCACCAAGGGTACAAGTCATGCGACACCAAAGCCGTTGACCAAATTGTCATCTTCCTTACCAAGGTCCGTCCAGTCACCACTAGGTTGTCAGTCATAGTAGTAATTAGCTTTGCTTTACTCCAACGTACGTGCTTCTTATAATCCTACTGTTCTACACACCACCACTCCTGAAACTTCCCATCTTCAGACATTTCCTACTGTTTTACATGCTGTGCTGCATGCACACAATATTTTGAATTCATATTTATTTTATACTAGGTAATTATTCTGAATTCTTATGATCATTGTTTTCTCCATCTGTAGTGGTATGAGGAGCATCCACAGTTCTTACCGAATCCACTTTTCATTGCCGGAGATTCGTATTCTGGCTTAATTGTGCCACCACTAACCTTTCAAATTGCTAAGGGTACGTACAAACTTCTTTATTTTTGTTTCTTATTAGGATATACTGCATTCTCCCTATAAAATGGAAAACTTTGGCATGACATACAACATATCTCCACTCCAATATTGACTTTAGTGTTAAACCCTCGGTGCTCTGCTTCAAATTACCTATCACGTGCCTCTTTTCCAGGTATAGAAATGGGTGACAAGCCACTTCTTAATCTGAAGGTCGGACAACCTTTCTTTACTCTTTGAACAATTAACGAAGGTTATCTTTGTGTTGCCTTCTAAGTAGCTGCTAATGTTCCAACATATATATTGCTTCAGGGTTACATCATAGGCAACCCGTTAACGGATCGTAAGTTCGATTTGCCAGCCGGAGTCCCATATGCCCATAGGATGGGTCTCATATCTGACGAACAATATGAGGTGGTAGAGGGATCACATCCTTTATTTCACATAGTATTGAGTTGAGCCATTTCATTCATTTGTGATGATTAAAAAAAATCTATGTGCTAAATTTCAGATATACAGGGAAACTTGCGCTGCAGACACCGGTATGAACCGAAACATACAATGTAAAAATTGCCATGATGCGATAGATAAGGTACAATAACTCCAAAGTTAAGGGAACTGAAGGAAGCCCTTTTGTCTGAATTATTGATGATACTTTTTTTGCATGGTTTGATGATACTTTTTCTACCAAGTGTAGTGCTTGAAGGGCATAAACATACATCACATCCTAGAACCCAAATGCTCTTCTGAATACAATGGAAATTCAGATAGTGGAAGGACGCTGTCGGGCTATGGCAATGCAGAACTTGGCTTGTCTGATATTTCTTCGGAGTGCAGAGTTAGTGACCAAGAAATAGCTTCAGTTGCTTAAGATTGTGCTCTTTGCTAATTAAAAGGACCATATTTTAAAATGAACATATCTATAATTTCTGCATTCAGGAGAAAGGATATAGCATGTCCGGCATCTGGGCAAACAACAGGGCAGTGAGAGAGGCTCTGGGTGTTCACATGGGAACGGTTCCTTTGTGGCTGAGGTGCAACCACGGCATTGCCATACACCATTGACATGAGGAGTAGCGTGGTGGAGTATCACCGGAGCGTGATCAGCAAAGGCTACTGGAGCTTGATCTACAGCGGCGACCACGACATGACCGTGCCTTTCATTGGCACCCAGGCGTGGATCCGCTCTCTGGGCTTCGGCGTCGTGGATGAGTGGAGGCCCTGGCATGTCAACGGCCAAGTTGCTGGGTAAGTTTAAGTGAGAGTTGTTCATTTTCTCCAATCAGCCTGGGGACAAGATCAAAGGAAACTTTTACCTTTTTGATGTATGGTGCGCTTGATTGAGCTACATTTCATTCGTTTTCGGTGCAGGTTTACAACGTTGTATGCAAATAACCTCACTTTTGCAACAGTCAAGGTACGCATAAGTGACTGGCTAGTTTGATGTATTGACTCTATTGTTAATTGTCTACTCTATTTGTTTGTCATGCCAAGCAAGTGTTTCTTTGTTTTTTCGTGTGATCAGGGTGGTGGTCACACTGCTCCAGAGTACATGCCCAAGGAATGCTTGGCCATGGTCGATAGATGGCTCTCCGGCCGGCCTCTCTAACCCGTCTTCTCGCACGCATCACATGTGCTTCCTCACGCACATAATGATTTTTTATTCGGGAAGAATACCATTCTACCACCGTAACCTACTACTATTAAGTTTGTGAATGTATAGGGCGACATGGTATATATAACATTTGCATGTTCATCATCATCAAGGCAATACAAGTGTGATGATCCAGCCTATGCATCCATTGATGCATGCAACCTTCTATTATTGCATAGTTTCGAAAAATCCAACATCACAAAAGGGGTATAAAAGGAACAAAAGCTATCACAAGGTTGAAAACAACATAAGAGATGATTACATGATGCCTCATGCGTCATTGATCATATTAATGGGTTGTTAGCCCAATCTATTTAATATACCCCGAGCGATCATCTTTCACTGGTTGCATCCAGAGTTCATGGTCGCTTGGTACTTCTCTCACCAAACATAGGACCACATGCAAAGCCAGTTGGTTCCATTACCTTGCGCATGGAACTCCGCACAAAACGAGCCAACTCACACCTAAAGAATATATGGTGCGCATCCTCCAGCATTGCACACACTGAAAATGAACCATCGGAAGGGCCATTGCACTTGGCCATGTTAAGCTAGGATGGTTGTCACATCTAAGCGCCTCCAAAAAGCTAGAGTTCTCTGCCTCTCGCCGGCGCCGATCCGTCCCGTCTCCGGTGGCCTTAGGGCCATGGAGATGGAGTGGATCTCGGCCCTTACCGGTGGGAGGGCTCCGTTTTTAGATTATTTTTTTAAGATTTGTTAGGGTTTGTGTCCTGCTCAGGAAGGCGAGATGGTGGCGACTCCCTGAAGATGGAATAAAGGTCTTCTTGCCTAGCCCCCGTACCGGTGATGCGTCTAGCATCATCGGTGGGCGTGTGGAGGTGTGTCTCTGCCAGATCTATCTTTGGTGGATTTGCTTGGATCTGTTCGTCGTTCGTCTTCGTTCGTGTGTCTTCAGGTTAGATCCTTTTGATCTACACTCTTCATCTGTGGCAGTTGTTGTTCTGGTGCGTTGGCTCTATGGGGCCTTAACACAACAACTTTCCGACTGTCGACTACAACAATGTTTGCCCAACTCCGGCGAGGGAGGGGCAATGACAGCGGCGCGCCTTCGGCTCGCTTCAGTGCCTGTAGTCGTCGCTAGATGGTCTACGGATCTTGATGTAATTTTTATTATTTCTAGTGTTCGTTGCACCACCATGATTGAAAATGAATAGATTGAAAGTTTTTTCTGAAAAAAAAAGCTAGGATGGTCGTCTTTTACGAAGCAATTGCCATAAGAAAACTTAACTTTGAGGGGAAGGGCAGTCTTCCAAAGGAATTTCACAATAGCCAGCCCCAGCCCAGCCAACAACTACGATAGACGGATTTAACCAAGATTTACGTGAGGATGAAAGGTGCCACGATACCTCATCAGATTCATCGGAGATTTGTGTACCTGCCACCATTACACAGAGAAGATCCTAATTGTTGGCTTCTGTTGGAAAGAAAGAGCACCTAATCAGCTTGGGAATGTGAAACAGCGGAGAACGTCGTACCTCTCTCGAGGCGACGGTTGCGTGTTAATCTACTACCACTATAAAAGAAAGAGAGGGGCAGATCCAAACAATCACACCCATTCATCATCAAAATCTAATGGCCCTTAATTATTCTGTGTTTAACGCTACCAACCACGCAACAAGCCACGATCAATCGCTAATCGCCCCGCACTAAAAATCGTCCCGCAGTCAAAAAGAAGAAGAAAACCGCCCCCCGCACGACCTCCTCCTCCTGCAGACCGCCGCCCCCCGCACAACCTCCTCCTCCTCCTGCAGACCGCCGCCCCCCGCACGACCTCCTCACCGCTGCCTCGCGCCGTGGGTCGCCGGGAGCCTCCCAGCCGCGGGAGCCCGTCCCGCCAGAGCCGCCCCGCCGCGGGTCGCCGCCTCCGCCCGCGCACTTCACCGCTGCCTCGCCGCGGGTCGCCGGGAGCCTCCCAGCCGCGGGAGCCCATCCCGCCAGAGCCGCCCCGCCACGGGTCGCCGCCTCCGCCCGCGCCCTTCACCGCTGCATCGCCGCGGGTCGCCGGGAGCCTCCCAGCCGCGGGAGCCCGTCCCACCAGAGCCGCCCCGCCGCGGGTCGCCGCCTCCGCCTGCGCCCTTCAACGCTGCTTTATCCATAGGAACTGGAGTTCAAGAAGCAACACTACTGAGCTTGATTTCTCCTGTGACCATTGCAAAGAGGTGAATTACATTTTGGGCATATGTTCATGTATTACTATTCTTGATTGGAGCTATAGCTTTTTTGGTAATTTGATAACACCACGAGCAGTAATCGTGTTTGAAAGCCAAAAACATACAGAATGTGTAGACTCTTTTGATGTACTGTCAGTTTAGGAGCAAAGTAACCATTAGTAAACAGTCTAGGAAATCTGAATGCATCTGCACGTCAATGTGATCTTCTGTTCATCCCTTGTACTGCTTCTAACATTGATGGGTTTTTGCGGACAATGTTTTAATGCTAGCTGTTGTAAGTAGTCACTGTGGTTTCAGCATGATGCTTGCTGTATGGAGTTTGCTATCAGTTTGACGCATAAGCCTTTCGAAATTAATTCAACTTGACTGAATTTCACTTTCCTCTCTTCTCTCATGCTTAAATTTCTTGCTTGTGTTTAGTATGATGCGCAAGAGAGTTGATGCTCGCCGCGTTCCAACTCTGAGGGATGTGCATCCACACGAAATGGAGTTTATGTCTCAGAGTATACCACAAATTCCACATTGAACGAATTGGCTTTGGGAGGAAGAGACTAAACTTGGTCGTGTTGGACACAGAGGTAAAGCTTGGGACATCTTTTTTTCCTATAATGATTAACCATTTTGTTTATTCCTTGGAATTTTAAGCTGAAAATAGTAGGAGAAGTGCCTAATATGCTATAAAGAACAGAGTGGCAAATACATTAAAAAAAGACAGGGAGCACAAGAAAAAGTATTCACCCGCTTTTCTCTGCAAACAAAAAATCGTGTTTTATGTTTCCGCTCATTGATTTCAGCATACCTGAAAACAGATGCAACTCCACCTTCCTCTGGTACAAAACTGGAAAAAGTAGGAAATAAATTTCTCGGTCTCATTTCCCTGTACTTCACAGTATTAAACACCACGTCCACCAAGAGTAACATATAATTCCACAGCCTTGATTGCAGCTTTACCAGCTTCATCCTTTTCATTAGATACGTCATTGACAAATGAGATAAAAAAAAGAGAGAGACACCACAGCACCTCCGCCCGTCACTCTTGATGCATTTTCCACTCTGCCACCGCTCTTGACGCGGTATCAGCTCTGCACCACTCCTGGTGGCCACGGTGTCTCTCTCGGCCGCCATGCCCTACCTCCGCTGTCGTCGCCCTTTGATGCGATGTCCATCCCGCTGTACCTCGACTGTCACTGCCCTATCCTCCATTGTTTTATTTTTGATTCTCTATGAGGTAGCCATTTTTTCACGTGAAGGTGAGCGGATTCGGCTCTATCAAGATCAATCTATTTATAACCTATTTATTAAATTTGCAGTTTATGCCTGCTAGGTCATTTATGGAGAGTGATGTACATGCAGATAATACAAGGGTGCATTTCTCTTACTGTCAAGAAGAAGGTATATTTCTCTTAACATAATAATGATACTGAAACTTTTTGCCCTTTCTAAATGTAAAATCGAGTCATTGATGTCGCATTGTTCTTTGGGTCTGATTGTCCTCATAAACTGACACCATGATAAGAGAAGATTCATGTGAATTATAAAGCATCTTAGCACCACTTTTCTATTTATTAATGTCACTGAAAGTATGCTTTCTCAAGTGTTGATTCACAACTGCATATGACATCTCTCATAGTAATGCGTTACGGACACCATCTGAATTAGTAATGATATATAATTTCAGTAGCCCACATGACCACAATTTGTTAACCTCTCTTTTGCATGTGCTGGCAATTTTAATTTTGCTATGAAGATGTAGAATTGACTTTTGTAGAATAAAACAAGGTTCCAGAGGTACGTAAGCAATTACACTGTAAAGCAATTGACATTTTCCATTCTCTGGATGCACTTTAAGTGAAGACTATACTTCGTACAGCGGGCTGCTATTCTTGTTAGTGTTACAAATTCAGTTCTCAACTTCTCATATGAGAATGTGTTGACTAAGATCCCTCACTGCCTTGTACATCTTTCATTTGTGACTAATTTTGTGTTCATGCTTTCTTTAGATTTAGGTGGAATTCTGTTCACCGAACAAATCTTCCTTTTGGCGATTGGAGACAAGGAGGTAGAACGAGTTCTTCCTGATTAATTGGCATGTTTGCTACATTGAGCCCCTATTTTCTGTTTGATTAAATTTACTAAGCATGGTCTGTCAGCTTATACTTTCTATTTCTTGGTGATTTCTTGGTGATTTCTTTGCTCAGTTAAACTTATTGCACATATGAGAGCCATTGCCAATCTTTATTAGTTTTCCTTTTTTCAGTTGAGTGGAAGGTTTTGGTTCGGCAGATTGTTCTTCACTATATTAGTGAGTGCCTACCTCTTTCATAGTAAGCTTAATTTACACATACATAATTCGGTGCGTAGGCTGACTTGGACTCTAGCCTAATTCACATATATACTATGTGTCCATATATATCCGCTTGTGGACAATATACAACATGTTTTGTGTCCAAATCCGCTTGCAGATAATATATAACATGATCTGTTACTCACTTTTCAGTTACATTACAAGAATAGTTGCGAAGGCCATCCAGTTTGTTACATGGTTTTCTAATTATTTATTTTGCAGTATTATTTTTTGTTACAGGGATAGGAAGAATAAGGAATGTATGTTGCAAGGTGTTTTGCTACATGTTATATTATCCTCTGTATTTTGGCTCAAATGTCCAAAAATTAATGTAGAGCATAATTGATGAGAATTAGCAGCATGGCAATCCGATCCACTTGAAATAAGCATCATTCATTCACAAAAGATCAACTTGGCTT